ACCCTGGCCTGCCCGCTCCTCCCTGCCCTCGCTCCCTGCCCTCGCCCCCTGCCTCCCAGCCCCACTCCTCTGGGGCGTCCCGCTCCTCAGGGACCCTCCCGACCCCCCTCCTCCAGACCATCCCTGCTCTTCAGGGCCTCAAAGCCAGGTGAGAAGCACCTTCCTCCTTTCCTCACCACTTTTCCTCTTTTTCTGCCTTCCTCCTTTCCCTCGGTGCCCCTTTTGTCTCTCCTCTCAAGGCAGAAAGCTTTGGGTAGTGGTCTCTCCTCCATGAATCACCCCCTTGCACTACAAGAGGGTCCTCCCCAAAGTTTTCCACTGCCACACAAATGCACAAGGTGAAAAGCTCACTCACTAAGCACTTCTGCAAGTGCTTATCCTGAGCACTTTCATTAAGTTCATTGACTGAAAACTCAGCTCATGCTAGATGAAGGCCCACTGATTTGCCAAAACCATCAGGAAGTTTGTGACGTTGCTGGAGATCAGACTGAGATCTCCAGAGTGCTGTTTGGTTGTCTTAATCATAGGCATATCTTTCCTTTCAAAGTCTTAACTTCTGAAATTTAGTGGAACCAATTATGTAAACTGCTTGGATATAAGGCCTTGGCCAGCAACTGCAGTTTCATTTCGAAGTCTGAGGCTGATTTCTTCAAAATGTAAATTTTGCTTGCAGTTCTATTTTTGTTGTTGTTTGTGTACACAATTTAAAAACAAAGTGAAATAATAATAATTCGTGTGCCTGAGAAAATGAGCTGAAGAATTCCCCAGTGTAATTAACAAGGCAGGACAGAAATGAGGGTAAGGCAGTTGAGTTTTACAAGCAATTTCTGGAACATAAGAGCTTCCACACTGGGTCAGACAAAGTGCTTTGCTGGACCAACATTGTGTTGCATTAGTAAAGGCAATAATCCTCTTCAGCACTTTCGCTGCCACCAATATTTCAAACTCAGAGATTTTTGTAAGGCAGATGTAGTTTCTATTACTTTAGTAGCCACTGGATTTCTCTGTCAGGCACTTTCCCATCTTCCCTTTAACCTATATAGATCTGTAGCACCTACAACTTGCTCTAGTAACAAGTTCCCCAGGTCAAATATATGTTGTGCAAAAACCTGCCTCTTTTTGTGTACTTTCAACCTGGCTACTGCTAGCTTCATTTGATGCTCACTAGTTTGTTATTATATGCTCTGTAATTCCTCTCCCACCTGAAAGATTCTATTTAAGCTAGCTGTGCTTCACATGAAATATGTTCCTATTTTCCATCTTACTGCTGAAGTTCAGGGACCAGAACAGCATCTGAAGGAAGATGCAGCCAAACACTTCTTGGCAGTGGCAAGTAGAAAACAAGGAACAACAGCTACTTGCATTGGGCAGCTGTGTTGAGCAAGAACAACTGCAGCTTGGGAGGTTCAAACTGAACATGGGGAAAAATTTCTTCACCAAAAGGAACATGCAACACTGAAACAAATTGCCCAGACAGGTTGTGGAATCGCCAGTTCTTGGTGGTTTCCAACACTCAGATAAACACTCAGTTAAACAAAGTCATAGCTGATCTGATCTGGCAATAGTCCTGCTTCAAGGGAAAGGTTGGACTGGGTGACCTGCAGAGGTCCCTCTCAACCAATATTTCTATGATTCTTTACCTACACAAAAAATGCAAGCAAAATATAGATTTCTGTGGCAACAAAAAGATATTATTTGTTTTGTTCTCTACTGATTTCTTAACACTTTTTTTTTCATCTGTTCATCACCAGGCTGATGTTCTCATGGAGCCACTTTCATAACTCCAGGAGTCTCTCTCCTGAGAAGTAATGACCAGATCAGAACCTACCTTTTCATACCTGAAGTAAAGATCCTTTTCCTCCCTGTGCAGTACTTTGCATTTATCTATATTAAACTCCATCTGCCATTTTATTGCTTGGTCACTCCCATAAACTTGTCTGCAGATAATCAAGGTTGTCTCATCTTCATTAAGCTAAATAATTTGAGAGCCTCATCAGGCTTTGTGATCTGACTACTCATCCCTTTTCCAGATCGTTTATGAATACGCTGAATGGTGCAGGACACAGCAAGTTGTTATTGGTAACCCTTCATCCCTAGAAAAACTGATCCTCTAGTCCTATACTTTCTTTCCCATTTTTCAGAAAATACAGATATCATAGGTTCATTTCTGTTTATTGAACTCTGGATGATGGGATCAGTGATCCATCAGTCCTCTGACTCCTGATTTCAGAATCTAAATTTCAAATTTAAATAATGTAAAACCATTTTTTCTTGAATCCTGTGTTGTGGTTTAACCCCAGCCAGCAACTAAGCACCTCTCAGCTACTCACTCACTCCTCCCCGCTCTGGTGGGACTGGGAGGAGAATCAGAAAAAGGTAAAACCCATAGGTTGAAATAAGAACAGTTTAATAATGAAAATAAAGTAGAACACTATAATAATGACAAAAATAACAATCATAGTAGGAAAAAAGGAGCTACCAAAAAAAAAAAAAGGAGGAATAACTCCATAAAGACAAGTGATGCACAACACAGTTGCTCACCACCTGCTGACCAAAGCCCAGAGCAGCCCAGCCCCGAGCAGTCATCCGCGCCTCCTGGCCAACTGCTCCAGTTTATATACTGGGCATGATATTCTATGGTATGGAATATCCCTTTGGCCAGTTCAGGTCAGCTGTCCTGGCCTTGCTCCCTCCCGGTTCTTCTGTGTCTCCTCATTGGCAGAGCATGACAAAAAGTCCTTGATGTAGGGTAAGCACTACTGAGCAACAACTGAAACATCAGTGTGTTATCAACATGATTCTCCTACTAAATCCAAAACACAGCACTGCACCAGCTACTAGGAAGAAAATTAACTCTATCTTAGCCAAAATCATGATGCATATTTCATTACTAGTATTTTATTTCTCATAATAATAAAATTATACAGTTTGGATAATTCTTCATAAATAAATATTTTTTTTTAATTATCACATTAAAATTTTCCTCAAAATATAGTTTGCAGAAGACATGAGGAACATATGTTTTGGAGTACTAATTCTTTAGAAACACACTGTATAATATACATGGTAGGGCTGTAAAAATATAATTGTTGGAAAATTTCCAGCATGCTAATTTTATCCTTCAGAAGTAACTTTATCTTATTATAAGATTAGTGAGCCCTTTTGCTATTCCTACATGTTCCAAAAATAAGTTTCACATCATTTACCAACTGAGAGATGTTCACTTGGAAGTGAGCTTTGAAAGGCTGATACCTAAATTTAAAAAAAAAAAAAAAGGAAAACAAAAGCTGCATTAACATCAAGAATGTACTAACTTTAGTCAAAATTCTTCCTGCATATCTGCAAAGAAAAAAAGAAGAAAAAAAAGCAAATTTTAACCACCAGATGTACGTTGGGTTTGATTTCATTCACAGATCTGTTTTATTCTTGTCTTAGGGCGAGTAACTCACAAAATGAGCTCCAAAATGTTCCCAAATAAGATTGTCCTAGATTTTTTTGTCAGGTAGAAATTTGAGATAGGAGCTTCAAATTTCCCTAGTGGAGAGCCTACACTGAGCGTGGACGTATTGGCTGGGCAGCTGCTTCTGGAATGTCATTTGGCTTTACAATGCTGGAGGAACACACTCTGCTCTCATGTGGGTCTTGCACGCATGAGAAAAATGTTTGATCATAGCAACAATGTGCCTTGTCTGCAGTCTCCAAATTGTATTCCTTGTAGTGCATTGTGCCTCAGCAGGCAGATATACCTACCCACAACATATTCTTTCGCATCTGACTTAAGGGAAAACAGGCAGGTGCAACTCAGTAAAACTGAAAAAAGGTTCATAGGTGTCAAAAAGAATGCAAATACCTATAACAAAATTAAAAGTTCAATGCATAGTCCTCAGCCATACCCCGCAAGAAGTCAGCTTTAATCTCTTCCTTTCTTCTCTTCAGTCCTTCTACTTATGTATACATGTACACGTGCTTTATCATAAAGCTACTGATTACTTGGATAGTGCAAGTAACTTCCTTTCCTTCACACTTTAAGTCTCAAGCTGGAGCTTGAGTACCTCTGGGTACACTTCCAGCTCAGTTCATATAGGCTTCACTTCCTTTCTACTTTTCTTGTTCCAGGCCTATTTTTTGTGAGTTTGTTGTGAGTTTTAACACTTTTGCAGTTCCCAAACTCTAAACTTGGGATAACTCATTGGCTCATGATGAATGGACGTGAGATAATTCCTAGTGCTTTCAGAACAAAGGGATGTGAAATACAATGGATCTTTCTTACAGGATCACGAATGGTCTCCATGGTAGTGTCTCTTCTGTGGCAGCTTGTTGCCACAGAAGGCCTTTTGTTTTGTGGACCAGTGGGGTTGGTTATTGTGCTGTTCAGAGGTGCCTGTGACACAGTGCTGACCAGTTAGGCTAAAACACTGAATGAAACAGATCCTAGAGATCCTGGCTCTGAGAACTTGAAAAAGATGCAAGAACTGCAATACATCACATCATTTTTTAAGAGTGCACACAGTGAGGACAAAAAAGGATGAAAACAGTATTGCTAGCTCTCCTGAATTGCTAGAATTCAGGAGAATTCTGCATAAACCAATGGACCATCACAGTACAGGTTGGAGAGGTATTAATTTTGAATTGGGTATGGGTGTACAAGGTACTATGGTGCCAAAAATGTGGATGTTAGCAATGAGTGCAATGTCGCCAACACAAGAACTTACGGATTACAAAAAGAAGGAGGGATGTGAAAATTGAGGCATTTAATTGTGACCTGATTTTCACAATATGAGTTTAGGAACTGGATATATGGGTAAATAGTAGACATGCAAAAATGCACTTTGTAATAGCACAAAGGGGTAAAGTCCCATTTCTGAGTTAAAACTATGTCAAGCTTGCGGGCAAACGAAGCGGATGAATGTGAAAGGTGTCCTTGGCCATGGCAGGGGGGTTGGAACTAGATAACCTTTTCAACCCAGGCTGTTCTATGATTCTATAAGTGAGGCAGCATATGATCCACAGGAGAGAAGCTCTTTTAACTGTGCAGAATGGAAGTGAGTTAATAGCCCAGTCACCACACTGCTCCTGACTTATATAATTTTTCTCTCCCTATTGAATAGCAGCAGAAAATGAAGCCAGACAGGGTCATTGTTGTAAAATTGTGTGTTTAGTAGAAAAGCAGAGTCAATTCACTCCTCATTGCTAAAAGAGCAAAACCCACAATTCTTACCTGCTGTGTAGCATCATGGAGATTATATACATATACATATATATATATATGTGAAGTGAACATTTTCCTCAAGGAAAATTTCCATAAGAAGAAGTACTTCTGGAGATGTGTTAGATGGCAAATATTTTTATACACACAATGTGTTGGCAGGTTGCAAGCAGGTACTGTTAAGGAAAAAAACCAATGCCACACCATTTTTGTGAGCATATTACATTGAAGGAAACAGTTTCCTTCAACTGGCATTCCCATCAGCAGCTTTACTGGAAAACCAGTGAACTATAGATGGCAATGTAGCAGACTATGATATGAATAAAGGACATTCTGATGTGAGGAGAAAAGAAGTGCATGACCAGAGATTCTGAGAAGCTTTGGAAGAAAACCCAAATTTGCCTGGCTAAAGTTGGATATTAATTCCCTTCCCAAGCTTCTAAATTCCTATAATGGAAACAGCATACCACAGAGGAAAGTTAATAGAGTGACATTGACATGTTAGATAAAATAGATTTTATCTACCTTTAGCATGATTGACCCAAGAGAGAGGAAAGAGATTCCAGAGAAAGATGAACTGGTAAGGGACATGGTGCCTATTCTTACCATTCAAACTAGTAGAGGGTGAGTGGCAGTGAAATGCACATATTAAAAACTCCGAAAAATCTGAGGAAATAACAGCAATATGTTACGGGAGAAAAGGTGACATAAAACTGAGGTACTTCCAAACAGAATATTGAAGTAGTCTTCCTCCAGGAGTATCAGCAAAGTAGGAAAACATGCAATAACAGAAATTGCATTTAAAAAAAAGTTAAAAAGGGTAATGTTGGCCTTACTTCAAGGATATTATAGAATATAGTCTTTATGGTCAATGTTAACTGAAGATGACCACAAATCATTTAATGCCATTGCAAACATACTCAGTAGAGTACAAGACTCATTTTTCAGCTATAGCTGCATAACTTGTAAAATGAATACGAATCTGAGGGGAAACACACACCTTAAAAGAACCATTTACTTAACCAGAATTCAGAATAGTATTCAATCACAAGGCATTTTTTTTTTATTCTTAGTAAACTGTAGGTATGAAGTCAAATCTAACAACACCTAGTGATACTGTTTTAAAATTCCATTCACAACCCCAAAATAGCTGGATATTTATGCTAAAATTATTAAAATTGTAATAATAATGGAATTTTTAAGGTTTCACTTTAGTCTTAAACTTGATATTCCACTGGAATATCAGGCATTTTATACCTCTCAGAGCCATAATTACTATTAGCAAAAACAACGGTACATATATTGCCAAAACCCATGGTGAATACAATGTTGAGATTGCCAAGTATGCCTTGTTGCCGTCCAGAGTGCATTAAGTGTACATGTATCTTTGCGCCCTTGAAGCTGGCAGGAAAAACTAGGACCAAACAATATCGAGGACGTGTTTTCAATGCAGTCTTCCATCTTCTGTTTTGCACCCCATGTGGTCCTATCCTGTCTCTTCTGTTCAGGTATTCTTACCTCCACTGTGTTAGGCAGGACTCGGTCACACTGGTAACTGAGGGGAAGTATAGCAGCAGCTGAAGTAATGAGGTGGGTGATACAGGAGATTGAAGTCAATACTCATAACGATCCTTCTTAGATTTCAAAGCCTCCGCATATTTCTAATAGTTTTAAAGCTGTCTGTAGGTTTTCAGCTTGCTGCTGGAATCACTTCCACATGCTGGCAACCCAGTGAATAGTTAACAAGGAGAGCGAAGACAGAAATAGTTCGCGTTTATCAGACATCCCTTTGCACTTTCTCAGAATAGGCTTCTGCAGTACTATTTTCACAGAATCATATCTCCTGATGCTTATTCTGACTATGCTAGTGCCCTAAGGATTTCTGTAGGTCTAGCATCATTCTCAAGAGGTTACAGGCAGAAAGGCCTATCCTCAAAGGCAACCCATAGATAAACAGGCATATCTATAGAGGGATGATTTATCTTTTTTTTTTTTTAAGCCTGATCTAAATTTGACCTTTAGCTTAGTGAAGACGTGTCTTAAGGCTGTCTAGTAACCCATCCTTTTTCACTGTCAGTCATGACGCTCTCAGGTTCAGGCAAGTTGCATCCTCACACAGTCAAAAAGAGGCTCACTGGGGTCTCTCTCAGAGGAGCAGTACTGTGACAAAGGAAAGATAGAAGATGGAAGATACAGTATGCATATTAAAAAAATATGCAATTTCCCTGACAAAAAAAATAAATAGAAAGAAGACAGAAATTAAAAAACATGTTATTGTAGTCTTTTTAAGATGTTGGTTGGAAAAAGTATAAATTTGGGAGGGTAATTGGAAAAACAAGAACTGAGTTAATCATGAGGTGAGCTGAAGGTTTTTGGGAAAAAGTTCTGCTTCTGTTCATTCCTGCCTCACAACTGTCTAGCAGGCTGGCTCAGCTATAACACAGTAAAACACGTAATGCAAGCAGTGCAGACCAGGACATCAGTAGCACCTGGAAGTAGTTTATATCAGACCAATATTTTCAGAGGTGTCATCAAATCAACAGTAGCATATTGGTTTATTTATTATCCCAGCATATCTGCACTTCTCATTTTGAATGACTTTTTGAATTAAACATACTACAGAGTGCATCTTTGATGGCAAGTTCAACAATTCTGTACATTATTTGATACCAATGCAATATTCATCCCTATTAATTTATTTGATCTGCTTGCTGGTACAATTAATAAGGTACAGGAGACAAACCCAAAGCTCAAAGCAAGGTAGTGGAAGGGTTTTTTTCACTTCCCAGGCCTTTGCATAAGGTCTTAAGAGAGAAAAACAATGGTGGGGATTCAATAACCATATAGATTCTCCTCCTCTACTCATTACAATTTTTGCTGCTGATTAACTCTCTGGACCACAGTCTCCTTGCAGAGTGTAACAACACTAAAGTGAAACAGATGTGAGAAGATTGACTTTAAAATGAATTTCATACAAGTTAAAATAAATGGAAAGTTATAGCCCCAACTTGTAATGGAAAACTGATACTCATCAGAATTATCACCCATCCACATACTTCCGCTCAGCCAAGATTTTTAAACTAAAAACTGCATGACTCAGTTACCAAATCCTCATTATCTGTATGTTTTGTCAAAACTCCCTAAGAAGGGGTTTGCCTGCTTCTTGTATTTCTACAAACCTCACCTCACTTTCAGCAGAGGCAAACGTTTATACACATTCAGATTATTACCAGAAATTGTGGGACTGCTCAGTGTATAATCCTTCTCTATCACAGCAAGCATAAGCTCATTGCCTTCACCTGTGGCTTATGCTTCCCCATTTTATTTTCATTAAGGCACTGCTTTTATTATGGTGCCAGCTCCTCTTGCTGCCTGTAACATCATGCAGGGTTTAAGCAAACACCATGACCCTTCATCTGCTTCTGATGTTGGCTCTCTCCATTTCACTTCTGAAGGAGCTTCTCTTTTACTTCATAAGGCCTCTTCAAATGCTTCTGTAAAGCTCTCCCTCTCTGCGACACCTGGAGAATACTTACCACGCAGAGGCTATTGATAGGCAGAAACCAAGCATGTAGATCATTATTATTTTAATATCTCTTCGTAGTCTTCCTTCTCTCTGTATCCCATTTACCATATATATCAGCACATGACTGTAGAGTCCTGGTTTAGGATGGAGATTACATAAGCAATAATATCACAAATAATAAATTAATTTTTGCAGTGTGGGATGAAATACATATGCACATACATTACTTCAGTTGTCACAATACTGGTTTTGGAAGAAATCTAAACATGCAGCTGCTCTGCTTGTGCCATTGCCTATTCTGTTTTAATCACAATTACCGATAGCAGACTGTTGCAGCAGCAGCTTTGCATTTCCACTTGAAAATCTTGGGTTTAGCAATTCATGAACTGTGTCTAAAAATATATCTTCATTTGAAAACTGGCATTCAAGCTACAGTCTAGAAGCAGTTCCTGTAAACATATTTAGTTAGTTCAGCAATTTTATCTAAGAGCACAGAGATACCTTTGTTGTTCCAGAAAGCATTATTTCATTTTCCTGTGTTCAGAAGTGACTGTGATGACATTGTTCTGCATTTCAATTATCTCTAATATGAGCTTTTATAAAAAGATAATTCATTTACCATATGTCAGCTTGGTACTTCCTTTCCATTTGACAGTCAGTGCTGAGTAGCAATAGGAAGCCACCATCAGTAGTCACACAGGTTAGAAAGAGAACTATAGAATGCCAAAATCCTATGGAAATACCCGTTCCTTTGATTTACATTGGCAAATATAGACTGAAGACTATATGCCTAATTTACAAACTTACTAAAGAACAAAATGGCTTTGGCCCTTCAAGTTAAACAAGCATCCAGCCAGGAGAAAGTCTTCCCAGTTGCTAACAGCACAATAAAAGGGAGTCCTCTAGGACAATGTAAAACTCTTCCAGAGAATGAAGGTCCCAAGTCACTGAGATCCTCTCCCAGCTTATTTGTAATTCCTTGTTCAGGTTTATTACCCTCTTTTTCTCAAACCTGGGAAGGTTTTACAATGAGTAGACATTTACTCCAGTCTGTGGTGGGCTCTATGAACCTCAGAGTGGCTGAGCAAAGTTATAGAGCTGTCAGTGTCTCCATCAACTCTTCTGCACTTTACCTGAAGATCTGTCAAATTACAGGGGAGGAATTAAAAAAGAAAGGCACAGGCTGGCTGGCTTGCGGTTTTGCACATTACCAGAGATTGCTAGATGCCAAAATTTTCAACTGATAGATACTTTTTACTTAGGACTAGTGTATTTACATTGCTACCTGGAACCTGCTAAAGGTCTGAATGGGGATGTGGCAGCTGTCAGTATCTAGAAAGGGAGCATCTGCCCTCTGTAAACCTCATAAATATAATTCCTAATGAGTTTCATTCAGCAATTTATTCAAACATTCCAAACTGTGTGGTTACACAGGCCTAGAACAGTATAACCACTGTCCTCATGTTGGTTTAACTATACACAGATATGGAGCATTGCATGCAGTACATATTTGTACATTTGACTTCTGCCAAATAATGCAGGCATATGCTATCTGTAAGGATGTCAAGTGCATAATTTAATAGTTATTTGATTATTTGAATATCCATGGCACAAAAATGCATTATTTGCTTACTAACATGGGTAAGGTAAAACTAAAGAAAAAAAATGTAAAGGGTCAAATTGCCAGACAAAATTCACTACAAATTATTTTCATCTTATGTATAAAATTAGAGCCCATCAGAAATATAATTATGCATGCAAACTGTTTGAGTGGAGGTCATACCAGCTTCTGCATAGGAAAATTCCCCTAGGGAGGTAGATCGCTCATCCAGATTACTAACTGGGCTCAGAAAGCCAAGATTTTTAAATAACAGTTGTTAGTGATTTAATAATACATGAATGCAGCTCTGAGGTTAAAAAATAAAGCACAGAAAATAAAATCCAAAGGGAATAGGATAAGGCTAATGGGCAAATTAATGTATTTGAATTTTTCTTTATATTATCACAGTCATGCTTTGTTGACTTCATCAAATTGTGTTGCTGTTTAACAGCATTGTTATCTTAACTCTAAAATATTCAATTAAGATTTTCTTGAATGGAATTAATTAGAAAAATACAATGGTATTCCCATAGTGTGATCCTGACTTCATTCTTTACTTCTTTATTCCTTCACTTGCCAGGAAGAATTGGAAACACTGCATTCAGTTCCACTGACAGTTCTTTCCTGTAAAACATACTGAATTGCAGCTGGTTAGTCTCATTTATTAATTCTAGAATGGGTCTTTTTAGAGATGACTTCAGGAAAATTTGTCCTTTTATGAAATGTTCATATTTTGCTTCAATGAAAGATTTGTTTTGACTTCTTAGACATAATTCTAAAAGATATAACATTATTAATTACTGCTATGAATTACTAGAATTATGGTATAGCATTGGATAAAGGTTTTCATTTGTAGAGTGGGCCAAGCTTATGTATCTCAGCTAATTTACCTGTTTTTTATTTTTCAAGCCCATTCTGCTACAAAAAGAACAAACCAGTTCTGCTAATGTTTGCAAAAGGCAAATTTCATTGCTTTGTAATAAGCAAACATTACAAAACTGACATTGCTAAGACTTTAGCACTGAAAATGTCGATAACCCATGTAGAAATTAAGATAATTTTTAAAATCAAAGTTTAAACAGATATTGAATCAAAAGTTCAGTGGGTTAAAAATAACACATGGTTAAGTCATCATTTGGCCAGATCACCCAATTTAGAAAGATGGCAATCAAATCACAGAAGTTAAAGGATCAAAGATTTATTTATTAACCCTGTATTAGATGATCAAAGAAAATCAATTGGTTTAATTAAAACTTTCTTATTCCTCTTTCATTCCCAGAAAACAACAGTGAAATTGAAATAGTTGGTATGGGATCTTTCTACTCATGTTGATTTTAGTCCCTAGTTACAGTTATTAACTGAAGCCCTAAAATCAATTTAGTTAGTCTTAAATAGCTTCTTAAATTTCATATGCAGTGCTATTACACAATTTCAAAATTAGGCTTTGTGCTTTGTAATTGTGCAGTTGATCCGATACATCTCACAGGATGGAGAATCCACAAGGGACCCCAGTGGGCTTTCAGCTTCCCTCAGTACTGGCCCCCTTTTTGTCTCTCAGGTGTTTTACTTGATTAATCTTGTATTGTACTTAATGAAATGCCTGCAGGTTTCAGACACTTCTCATTGATAAAGAGAGTGATCAGGTCTTATCTCCAGGCAGAATAACTTCATAAAGGCCAGTTAGAGACTGTTACTTCAGAAGATAGAAAATAGAGAAAGTCCTGTTGAAGATGAATCCTGTGGGATAGTCACTACTGCAATCACTTGCTAGAAAAGGTGAGAAACAGAGACTAGAGCTGCCTTTAGAGAAAAAAGGCCGCTTATTTTAAATAAATAGGTGATAGCCATATGATCTACTCTGGGTATTTTTGCCTGGTTTGGGTATTCACAAGCTCATAGAAACAGCTGCAAGCCTCATTGTTAAGACTTTCATTCACCCCAAAGCATCTTATGTTCCTTGAACATACTGGAAATCAGCTGAACAAACCCATGATCAATAGCCCTATCACAGCACCAGGCATAATAACTAAGGGAGAATATATAAAGCTTTGCTAATTTTTACACTGTATGGTTTATATCCATTTAATAAGAACTAATACCAAAGATCTGCTTTTACATTTTATCAAGCTAAGCTCCATATAATATAAAACCCTTAAAGTATATGCCAAGTTGTTATCATAGTCTTCCAGTGCATTCTTTAAAAATTAAATTGTACATGGATTGACATCATAGCAGTTTTAGCAACGGAGTAAGAGCCCATAGAATTTGTATAGCTAGTGTGTCATAAGTTGCAGTTTCCATAAAAATGTTAAAATAACTCAGCCAATACTATCATAATAAATTTCTTAAAAAAGAATGTAATAAAATAAATTACGTGAAGTGGCCTTCATTTAAAAATTAATGACATATTTAGACCCATTTTGTTGACTGTTTTCATACCACTTTAATACATTCAATGTATCAATATCATTATACTGGAATAAGCACTACCAGAATGAGAGGCCTCACTGTTTTTATTGTTCATTCCAGTCATTGTTCTAAGTCAACTATTTCAGTCAAAACTAAACCTTCAGACCACGCTTAAACCTGGTATGTATCCATTTGTTTATTGATTTCAGCTAAGACAGGACCTCAGAAAAAGTAAGTACAAATTATTTTCTTCAGTATATTCCAGGTATTCAATTTGGATTTCTTTCTGAGAGACAGAGGCATAAGCTGCTTCAATATTGTCAGTACCTCTGACTCAAACTTTCTGTATCTTTTATTAAGTTAATTTTCTTTCCCTGGATTTTCTCCAGAAACTGTATTTAGCAATGGAGGGAGAAAAGCAACTCAGTCTACAAGCTCACAATATTCTGTAGCTTTGTCTACTCCATCTGTTTTAAGGTGAGATGTTTTTTGTCTCTAGGAGTTATCAAAGGAAACTTTATGACTAAAGACAAGAAGGGCTAGTAAGGCATGTGGGACAAAGGAGAAGCATTTTCTAAGGTTTTCAAGGGTCAGTGCAGTGCAATTCTACCTTTTGGCTCTGAATCTGTAGAAAACTATAGAGGGAGCCTAGAAAGATTAGCTTGAATGGCTAAAGTTACCTTTTTGGAATACCTCACAGCTGCCAAACTCTTAGGTGGCTAAATTTAGATGAGGTAAATCCCATTCTCAGTGTGGTGCACTTAATCATGAGCTATTTTATAGCAACTGTCTCCTACTGATGAAAATTAGGGAAGAATACAATTTTTTTTCTGGATTGGGGTTATGAATATGTATAATTAAAGATAATTTTGAAATGTATTTTCTTTAAAAAATTATCAACATTGTAGAATTAGAAGATTAACTAAAGAATAAATATTTTTGATGGATTTAAAGGAAAAAAATAAACCCAAGCAGCAAGGTAATAGTAATTTTTTAGATTATTGATCCTTTGAGATACTTGTGTTCTTGTGGGGAAATGACTGTGAATCCCTGTCACAGGAAATGACCTGTGAATTAAAGTCCAAAGATTTTTAGAATAGTGTCTGAAAGCCTAAGTTTTGTGCTCCCAATGTTTCCTTTGTAATTTTTTAGGATACCTTAATCATGAAACATTTGTGTAAATGGAAATGGTAATCCAGATCTTTATGTAAAATGGAATCTGTCTCTCCAAGATTTCCAGAGTTTTGTCTTTTGTGGGCTGGATCCACATTGTTCTATCTCTTTCGAAATACAGATCAGAGATTGTGTCTTGAAACTAAATCTCTCACATTAAATACTCTTAAAATTTTATCATACTGTTTTCTCATGCCACTGCTTTACATTTCTCTGTAAGAAAGAGCAGATTAAAAGGAGAAAAAAATCCAGTACTTGAGGGGTGGTTGTTTACACAGATTCCTTTCTCCACTATATCAGCTTCAGAGAAGAGATATCAGTGTTCTGTACTGTCATACTTCTTTTATCAAGGCATGTATCCAAATTCATTGGAAGAACATTGACTTTTGAGCTTTTATATTTGCTAGCTTAGCAGAAACGGCAGCTTTTCACTTTCTTTCTTTCTCTCTCTCTTTTTCTTTTGTTCTTACTCTCTCGTTCTTTCTTTCTCTCTTTCTTTCTCTCTTTCTTTCTCTCTTTCTTTCTCTCTTTCTTTCTCTTTCTTTCTCTCTTTCTTTCTTTCTCTTTCTTT